ATGTCTTCATCTCTCACACTGAGCGCATTCTAGCTACAAGCCTGTAGAAATTCAGCATGCAGCTGATGTAATCAAACTGACTTTTCAACAGCTCCCTCAAAGACGTTTTGAAATGTTAACAAGTTTATTACCAAATACGGTTGACTAATCAGCCACATTTTCTGATTCATGCTTTACATGTCAGATAAAGGGCTCTGTCTGGGCTGGAGGGTCGCTCTCAGCTCAATGGAAACCAGCTCCTTCCAAAGGGCTGGACCTCTTACGGAGGCTGTAGAGTCTATAAAACATCCAACGTACCTGTGAACAGACCACCAGCCTTCAATTAGCGCTGGAACCAATTAATGAAATGCGGTGCTTTGCTGAGCCAGCTCCAGGAAAGTTGATTCCTGTCCCAGTGCTCCGTGTCCTCCTCCAGGCAGGAACTCTGGATGAAGCTGACCTGAGCAGCGGGTATGGTGCTTTCAGGGTGTCTCTTCCATCCATTAAAAACCACAGACAACCCACAAACTTCATATTTTTGCAGCATCTTTCACCACTACGCACCAGTGGGACTTACTGTGGTCTCTGGTGTAATTCCAATTAATGCGAACACTCAAAGGATATAATGCAAACAAGCAAAGGAGCTCTACAATGCATTAAGTCTTCATTTTTTTATATATGACATAAGAATATGTGCAGCAACAAATCACTCAACACTGTAATATTAGCTTCAGAGGAAAAAATGAAATACTGCGATCAGCAATATAAAGCGAGAGAGCAAGTTTTGTTTCAGAGCTTGGAGTCATCACATTCAGGTATCATGGGTCAAATGCCCTCACCTTCTTCCCTGCACAAAAAGTCAGGGGGAATAAGAGCCAAAGATGATGAGATAGCTCCAAAACTACTGATGCGCATGTACATACCAACACATGCTAATATCAATGTGTTACCAAAAACATTTTCTGAACAGAACGGGCTTTTAAAAAAGTTTTCTGATAGTGGATTTTCAGGTGGTTTCAAGTTTATGGAAAAAGATATAAAAAGCCTGGCAAACATTCATAAATGGGATTATTGATTTTCTAGGGTAAGAAATGCTCAGAGGGGAAAAAATACCTCACTTAAGTCACAATATGTCTTTAAATAAGGGCAAGATGAAAGCTGAGAAGTTGGCATGATGCTTTCCAATACTCACAACAACACTAAAATATATCACCACTTGTTTGCTGACTTAAGAAATTTCATTCATCGCCAGAGATTGCCTAACTTCCATCTGAATACCGAGACTAATCTCCTGGCAAAGCCTGTTACAGACGATACAGAGGTCTGCATCACCCTAAGCCACACTTGGGCTCAGGCACACGCCGTGGCCATCTCTAAGGAGGAAGAAGGTGCGCAGCTCGTGCTTCTGCTCGGACAGACTTCATTTCCACACATCGGAAATCCAGGCCACAAGGCAGCAGAAGTCACAGCCCTGAGCAAGGGTCATGTGTAAAACTCCTGGGGCATGACGCTGCATTTGGATGCAGCCGCAGGGGCCTCAGTTCTGCTCCTGGGGAAGCTGCAGGCTCGGGTCCACAAACAGGCAACATGTCCTTTGTCAAAGAGTAACCAGAATATCCCGTTCAATAAAAAAAATAAAAAGGAAGAGGACAGCAAAATCTGAACTGTATAGAAACTAGTCCATAGCACCAATAAGCATCAATCACATGCCTTTAAATCCCGCTTCTAAGGCATTTTTCCCCAGCTATCAACACAGAATTTACACTACAACGATAAGTCATGCTGTAGAAAACAAAATGTCATTATCCAAGCAATGATGAACTGATATTTGAAGTCTCCTCTGATACAGAGAAAATGAATGGCAAGCCCTGAAGTAGCAGAAGCCCCCGAGCTCCTTTTGATGCTGCTGGAGAAAGGTGGGTTACATCTAGTTACACCGTTAACAGCAAACCATAATTTAACTCGCGCAAAGAGATCTGTCTTTCAGGAACTGTTTCACAGTAACTGCACAATGTGCAAAGCATAGCATATCTGATTCACAGGAATTAGGCACACCATAAACGCCCCAAGAGCAACCATGCGCATCTCAATGAAGAGCTCATTCTGAAAGTACCCTCGTAGCTGGGAAGTTATGTGCCCAGTATCAAGAATTCTTGATTTATTAACAAATGAAGCTACAAGAAGAACAGTGTAGTCACTACAAGACTGTGGCTAAACTATAGGCAGGAACACTTAATGCTAACAACATTAAACCGCTAACCTATGCTTCCAACAGGAAAATTAATCCACAGAGAGGATCTAATTTATACTTGCAATACCCGGTATGAAATAAATCGCGTTATCCTCCCTTTATAGCAGAGGAAAACGCGGTGGAGCCGTCAGCTGGGCTGCCCAGCGACACAAAGGATCAGATGGGATCACGTCTGGGATCAGGCGCGTGGTGCTGTCGGAGGGGCCCTCGAGCACCCAAGGCATCCGCGCAGGGCTGCCAGATGTGACACAGGACCCCTGGGAGACGCGCCCTCTCGGAGCAGCAGCTGGAGGCCACGCAAAACACCCAGGGGCATCTCCAACAGCACTGTGCATCTGCACGGAGCAACTGAAGCAAGCCTGGGGTGACTGCATACAATTCCAGCTTTGACCTCGGGGTTTTCTGCTCCCGGCCTGTTTCTGAGCACAAGATCAAACACAGCCATCACATGACGGCTTCTATTAGACGAGTTCCCAAGAAACATATCACAAGCAAAGAGCGCTGCAACCGTACCCTCCTTTTTCAGTTACGGTTAAACGCCTGAAGCATTTCAGAATGTCTTGCTGCAAATTCGTTGTTAAATGAAGGCTTCTACACTTTAAAACACTTAAGCACATGCTTAGCTGGATGCCTGTAGCTGGCTGCATTGACTCATACAGAGATAATCACATGCTTAAAGATAACGGCGAGGTTAAGTGTCCTTCTGGAGCAGCAGGGGTGACGCAGCAGGAGCCCAGGCCCCGCTGTACCTCCTCGGTTATCCGTGCACTTGAACCCCTGCCGCACGGCTCAAGCCGGCATTACCCTGCCTGGGCACGGAGGTGGCGGCTGCGTCTGGGCTGTTCCCTGCTCCGCAGGCATTTCCCAGCCTGTGGAGACTGCGGGATGCTCAGGTAGCCTGATGGTTTCAAAAACATGCACAATTATCACCGCTGGATCCTGCCTCGGTCACCATCACCGATTTCTGCCATTACAGTCCTCGCTGAGGCTGGGGACACAATGTGCTCTGGAAGCAGGCGCAGCGCTGTCCTCATCTATATGGCTGCTTTTTTCTTTAACTCTGAACAAACAGCTTTTTATTCCAAGCCCGCACCACCAAATCCATCTCACTTCTAGATTTCTCGCAGCAGCATGGCACGACACACCACTTAATACCTCCTTAGACATACTTCCAATTTTGAGGTCAAACTTGCAGTGAGGGGAAAGCATGGGACACTTACCAAAGCCATCTTTTGTGATGGCAAAACAGACGGGCATTCAGCTGCAATTTTTAAAAGGAGCTGGGCAGCCAGCTCCCGTATGTTCCTTCAAAAATTGCAGCTAAATTAGGCCAGCTAATGCTGCACAGCTCACTGGACAATATCAGCATGCTCATTCATATGCACAAATGCAGATTTTCATGTTTTCATAAGTGGTACCCTTCTCAAGGTCTGACTTGCAAAGTTTCTAGATTTTTCTTTTTTTAATGCGACTGTTCTTGTCACTGAAGAGCAATTCACATGCAGAAAGGCACGGTTAGTTTCTAACCGACTCTTTTATTACACTAAACAAGGTCAAATATATAAAAATTCCAAGTTGTGGCTCTAAGACAAATCATTAAAATACCCCTCTCCCTCACTCACATATTTGGAAGATATTCTATTGCTGGAAAAAAGAAGCCATATCACTCAGACTGGAGTAATCCACTGGATTTAATAGATATTTTTTTCCCAAACTGCATCCAAAACCAGAGAATGACAGGACAAACCCAAGTTATGTTCAGTATTTTTTGTCCAAAAGTCTCTTCTGAACATTTATTTCAGAATGGCCTACATTAAGCCAAAGCAAGAGAGCATTTTAAAGTAATGCATGTATCATTTCTTCAAAAGGAAAAATCAAACCAGATACTTTGAAACTGAATACAGTCACAGACATGAACATTTAGAGCTTTAACAGACATCCTCTACTAATAACAAACACTCAGTTTCAAAGAAAATGTGCACTTTATACACAATTAAAATGAAAACAAAAAAAACAGTAACAGAAACAGCTCCATTACTTTGCATTTTCGGTATGAATTCAGTGCTGGGATTGGAATATTCTATACACTCTGCTCACTAACAGGAGTATTTACTGGTGTGGACAAAAGCTCACAGGACTGACCTGAGACAGTAGCTTTAAGCAGGTAACGGTTTAGAACATTAATTGGGAAAGGGCTAATACAAACAATGGGTGAAGCAGCTGTCATGAACCGATTTTATTTTAAGCCATTAATAAGAAATTGCTGCAGTTTGCATAGAGAGCAGCAAGAGGAAACGATTTTCACTTCTTGCCATTTGGCTGGTGAAAGGCTGTTCCAAAACCACCGCAAGGGGTTAAGAGCAACGTAACCCTTTTGGGAAGCTGAAAAGAACAACCCCAGTGTCGGGGATAATGAGTGGATTGTAGCCAGGCATTGGGTTTATCTCCAGGCTCCAAATGTCTTTCCCTAGTACTTCCAGACAACATGTTTTCCACCCAGCTTCTCCACCACACTCCCAGCTTTCTGCTGGCAAAGCCTCTCTGCCCATCTTCAGGCAGCGTGCTTCTCTTCAGACTCCTGTTTGATTAGCGGAAGCACTATTAATAAACTCCCTCTCACCCCACACAGATAGTCCCATGTCACTGGCTAGCTGTCCCTGCCCGCAAGTCCACTCAGGCTTTTAAAAACTGCTATGTACTTACTGTGTTACTTACTTATACTCGCTTAAAGACATCGCCCTGAAACTTTTCTGCATAAAATTCAGAGGTTGCTCCTTTCCCGGAGCAGCGGCCAGGAGTTACTGCTAAACAAAAAGCCAGAAAGCAAGTTCGCTTCCCAACATCTCTGCTGGAGGTGAAGAGGAAAAGCTCTCGCTGACCTCGCGCAGAGGGTTGCATTGGCTCTGGGCGCACTTATGCCTCTCTAATGCAGAGCTGAGAGACAGCTGGGATCTATGCCTGGACTGCCTGGTGTCCCAGAGTGAAAACAGACTGAAAACAATTCAGCAAAATACCTATTTTCAGCAAGTGCTTGGGTAGAGGATAACTGCAAGCATGTGCTTGTATCCCCTTAGTTTAAATTTAACATAAAGCCTATGCTTAGACGTTCTGCAGGACAGCAATGGAGTATGGGTTCACCTGTGTCCCCAACAGAGCCTTTCTTCTCAATCCTGTTCCTGACCAGGCTGTAACGAGGGCACTAAGGACTGAGGTAGCCTCAAAATAGAACAGTCCCGCTTGAAACAGGCCCCCAATATATATTAAAATGCACAAAAACCTAACTAAAGGGAGTGGAGCAAGGTCCTGAATACATTATAAATAGTAGCAAAAAGCATACACATTTATCAGCATCTCTCAAACATTAATGCGCATCCTTGCCAAAAAGACACCGCCAAAGGCAGTAAGTACCGCGTTCTCCGTTTTCTAATTATAAATTCAAGTTTAGTGCCAAAACCACAGAATGCCAAATCTGACTGGTCTCTCAAGCAGAAATCTAAATTATACACATTGCTCTGTCTGAACTAAATTCCTCGGACATAATGGAAGGAAGAGGGGTCTGGAATAAGGCAATATCATTGATATTCAGAAAGGGCTTTGTAAAAACTCTTACAGACAGCTCATGTGTCCTGGCTGGGGGGGAAAGGAATGTTATTCCTTGAGTGTAATGCACGGAGAAACAAAATTACCATGACTCCGTCTAAACAGATTACTTTGGAAAAGACAGAAATCTTATCCAAAAGGTATCGTAACAACTCATGCCCTTGGGGAGTGGGGCGTTACGTAACAACAGACCTCAAAAACATCTCTTTCCATAGATATCACATAAACATGTAGGATTACTGAATCCAGTAATTTCTATTTACCTTTTTTTTGATGTTTTACAGGAGTTTCAAGTCTCTCTTGCCTCCTGTTGCATAAAGCTTGCAGGGAGGTCTGAGCCCTCTCTGCGTTACGGCTGGCACTCTTACTCTGAACACAAGTACTCTCACACATGTACATTTTTGCTGTAAGTAATTTTCCACAGGGCGAAAAAAACTGTAGTACATAGTAGCTATAGTATGACACTTCCATTTTATAAGTAGCACATCATTTTTGTAAAGGACAGAGTCAAGAGCACCAGTAACAGATGTTTTCCAAATCTTTCACTGCTTGCTGCTCAGTGACTGGCACCCGTGGGCTGCCTGGATAACCGGAGACTCCTCTGTGCTGTCTGCATGTGCAAGGCACTTTTGAAACGCAGCATAGAAAGTTTTACGTTTAAAACAAGGAAGAACAATGACAAACTGCAGACCATGGTAATAAAACTAGCAAAATGCTAACAGCTACCCATTGCTTTCTCCTCATTAATATAAAAAAGTGTAACGTCAGAGATCCAGTGTACAAATACAAAAAATTGTGCATAATAAATGTACTACAATACTGTACATACAGCATAAACCGTTCAATGAGAATGATTTAAATATATCTATTTGTCTCCTGACTTGGAAGACAGAAGAATAAAGTTCTATAATCCTAGAATATGCGTATAAAGCCTTTCTGAGAGGTTGAATCACTAGCCAACGGTATCCCTGAAAATAAGCAGTCAAGTATTTACTTAATGGAAGCCATTATTCAAGGGGTTGCTGGTTATGATAAACTAGGAGAAAAAACACAATATATAAACTCAGCCAACATTAAATCCAGACAGAGTTCTTCCCATCTCCTGACTTGCTACTGGCACTGCTTTTGTTTGAGCCTGCTTTGGATTTCTTCTCTCTGGAACTGCCGGGATTGTTTTGGTTGTTGTAAGCCTGGATCGCAAGGTCCAGGCGCTCCTGAGCCACTTTAATTTCCCTCTGCAGATTTTCCAGGTCAGCAGGAATGTTTTCTTCGTTGCTTCCATACTGCTGTTCCTGAGCTATATTGGCTTTGTTCTGTTTGTAGGCCATTTTGGCGTTGGACAGTTCAGTATATTGGATTTGCTCTGGCTTGACAGCAATGTTATAGCCAGGAGGAGCAGATGGTGTATTCCAAGTAAAAGGGTAGTTGTAAGTACCAGAGTCTTCCAGCTCTTTTCTCTTGTTGTTCAACGTGTCCCGGATTGTGCCAAATCCCAAATGGAGCATCTCCCAGACATTCAAAAGTAAACACATGCAGCTCACCCCATACATTATTAGCAGGAAAATGGTCTTTTCAGTTGGCCTTGAAATGAAGCAATCTATCTTGTGTGGGCATGGCTTCCTGCTGCACACAAATATGGGGCTGACCTCAAAGCCATACAAAAAATACTGACCCACGAGAAAGCCAATTTCAAACGTAGTCCTCGCCAGAAGCTGCAGGACATAAATTTTCATGAGTCCATCTTCACGGATTCGCCGCCTGCCATCATGCTTAGCTTTGGCAGGGGCCTGCTGCTCTTTATTCTCTCGTTCGCTTTCCAGCTCTATTTCTGGGTACATCATCGGGTCTTCCTCATGGTCCTCCTCAGTTTCCTCTAAGCCACGGTGTTGTTTCCAGCGCATGGAAAAGCTTTTGCTTCTGATTCTTCTGTCAGCTTCGCTGTGTTCCACCATCCGGGCAATTTTATGAATTGCATAGCCTAAGTACATCACAGATGGAGTGGCAACAAGAATGATCTGAAAGACCCAAAACCTCACGTGCGAAAGAGGAGCGAAAGCATCGTAACAAACATTCTCGCAGCCAGGCTGCTCTGTGTTGCACACAAACTTGCTTTGCTCATCGTAATAAATGGATTCTCCTCCCACAGCAGTTAGGACAATCCGAAATACAATCAACGCTGTCAGCCAGATTTTGCCAACAAAGGTTGAGTGATTGTGGATCTCCTCTAACAGACGGGTCAGAAAACTCCAACTCATGGTGGTCAAGTAATTTTATCTAAAAAACAAACAAAACCCCCAAATATTTATGAGTTTATCAGCTTGAGCCTGAACGCTGCAAACATTCAACCAAAAGAGTCAGAAAACTCTAGAATTTTACAACCAACACGCATGTTTGTAGCATCACCTGTTACCGGGAAACTCCAGCTGCCAGAATTTGCTTGAAGATCCTACGTCTCCTCCACAGGCTTTTGAGAAGTCTGCTACAAAAAAAAGTAGCATTAACTGCCATTTCACAAACAAACTGTGCTCCCAAAGCTACTCTCGAGTAGAAGTGAAAGACATGGCTGCTATGTATTTCAAATGTTAATAAAAACATTTACACTTGAGGCTGAAGTCTCCAAAACACAGTGGATCGAAAGCTAAGCTCCCGTGAAATTTTATGGGCACTGTTGGCTACATCCCACCACTAACAGTAAGATTTATTTTAGCTGCACAGAGGTGGCCCTGTTAAAGCCAGCGCTTGCGATCCTGGCCTCGACCATAGCCCATGGAGAGAAACAGCTCTCTCCATGGGGCAATGCCAGCTGTCTTGAGTCAGAAATGAATCACCCAGCCCAAACCTGAGAAGCAAGTGCTATTACCGTTGATTTAAAGGCACGACAACCTGAGTGACCTGACCAGTGCTAACCTGCAGGTCTAGCCTAGAGACAGGCTTTGATGTAAAGAGCATCTAACTTCTAACCTAATGCTCAAACTATTCTATAGATTTGGGTTCAGTCCCTTAGGGAGGCTAAAAATCTCACTTCCAGGGCCAGAAAAGACTTTAGTATGTATTTTGTAGTGGGTTTTGGAAGAGTAGATGGAAAATCTAGTTAAAAAAAGTTATCTGTCAAAAATTTTAGAAGAGATACTAAATAGAAATCAATATAAATCTGCAATTCTAACAGTAAAAAAACCCATTAGTGGAAACTCACGGCTGGCAACACTATTACGTATTACAATGAACAAAACCTAGCGACATTACAGGCCCACCTGGAGCTCTAAGGAGTGAAACTGGTAAAATATCGAGCACAGGAAGAACTGTCTGATGTTGTTCGACACAGGGGATACAACATCTTTCAGTCCTCTGACAATGTCAAATATTAGTTTGTCAAACATTATTAATAGAAATGCTTACATCAGAACAACATTTGCTTAAAGACCCTAAAACTAGAATTGGACGAATCTCTGACACTCTGATCTTAAGTGATTTATTCTTAACCTGGAGAAATTCCAGGGAACTGGAAAAAAACTAGTATTTGCAACTATTCAACTTCTTCCACATAACTACAGAGTTGTTCACAAGCAAAATAATGAAATTTGAGGGGATGCAATCAATACAGAATTAAAGGATATAAGTGTAATCCCCCTTCTGATGAAATTCAATGTTACATTGAAAAGGCGACAGCACAGACATAATGTGGATGGGCTGTGTAGGACATTTGATTTATTACTTCATGACAGTGTGAGAAAAAAATAGCACAAGAGAATATTAAAAAAGACCATATTAAGTGGATCAAAAGTAACAAAGGTCTTGACAAATGATTCCCACATTAGAACCAAGATCAATTGCATGTAATTACAGCAAGTTCTGCAAAGACCAGGAACAGGCCTGGCAATTAGGCTGTATCTTCCCCAGATTCAACCTGAAAATGGCTGCTGACAAAATCTGCAAATGGCACAGAAGTTTGCAGGCTGACAAATAAAGACGAGAGTTATCAGTGATGCAGAAAAACAGATCGCTCGAGAGGCTGAGTCCACTGAAACAAAACCACCGCTTTAACCAAGCTTAATGCAAAGACATGCAGCTAAGAAAAAGAATAGCAGTCTTTTTTTTAAAGGAGAGAGAAGTTACTCTGTGTGTCAGTTAATAGGGAAGGGAGTGAGAGTCCTAATGGATGAGCATCTCAACGAGAGCTGGTGATACAGCAGAGATGATTAATGCAACCCTTAGCTGTGTCACGTGCAAACAGGAGCAAGGAGGGTGATCTTACCTCCTTGTTAGCACGACAGCACTCAATGCCTGTGTCTGCATCCTTCAGAAGTTGCTTAAACATCAGAGACTGAATATATTAGTCTCAAAACCAGCTGAAGAATGGGGAAGGTGCCTAAAAGTGAGAGATTTAGAGAGTTCAATTTGTTTAGCTGGGAAACATGGGAAGAAAATGAAGGATTACTGGTGAATCACTTAATCTAGAGGCTATCAATTGTACATGCAATCAATCCAAGGTTTACCATCATAGTTCTTCTTTCTACGCAACCATGCTACCATTATGCTGTAGACAGAATTGGCTGAAATAGCACGTTTTTAACATGAAAAAAGACCAGAGGGTTCCAGTCCCAGTGCAGCGCCTTACTGCAGCAGGTGGCTTCACGCTCTGAACCCCCATTTCAGAAAGGCACCCAAGTACAGCTCCGTAACCCCAAGTTCTGCATTAGTGGGACGAGAGACTGTGCTTCAGACACCCACACGTTCAGCACTTCCCAGCAGCATACTCAGATTAGGAATCAAAATGGCTGATAGAGTGAGCCTGGGGGTACCCTATGTGCCTGAAGTGTCTCCAGTATGCTGAAAAGGCAAGTGAACCCCACATCTGGAACTGGGGATTACAGAGGTAAGAGCCACAATGCCGACATTCACACCAAGGTGCACTGCAAATCTAGCCACCAAGCACAGACGCTAACGGGACATACAAAAGCAGGAACTAGCCTGTACATTTTCAGATACTGTCAATGTTTATTCATCAGCGGTTACAACAGAGAAGTCTGAAATTAGCACTGGTTTCAATAAGAGAGGGGACACTGAATCTTTACTTCTAGACAAGCTGCTACCTCGACATCTAACAAATTCTTTCAAGGTATTTATCAGCTTTTCACAGTGTGTTTTCTATCTGCAGACCACACACCTCTGGTTGGCTCTTACCATACCTCACCAGCTATAAAGAGAAGATGCAGGGAAACGTGTGGATCACCCCTCAACTCCCTCGGCTACCACTCAGAGTGGGAGACAGCCACTGGAGGGCACAATGCATCTGGCCCGCTTTAGAACTTGCTTCAGAAGAAAGAGGGGGGGGATTCACGTCCTGGATTCCACCAGTTATATAAATGAACAGCGTGACAAACCTACGTATAGACACTGACCGCACAGACTTGTACATTTAGGTTAACCACAGCTTTCAGATGCGTAAGACGGCGTTATCAGCCACGTGTTTAATAACCAAGACTTCTGTCAATTACAGAGTTCTGGCTGCAGAGATGTGAAGCTGCTGAAGAGCTCTGATTCTCTTCAACAAGAAAGTGTCACTTATTCTAAATTTAGTTTTAGTCCAGAGCAGAGCTACTGACACAAATATGAGAGAATCCACCAGCAGGCAAAGAACTTCTTTGTCTTTAAGGAAACATTTTTGTTCAAGCAAAATGACCTGTCTTTAAACCTTTCTTTCACTGGAAATGTTCAGCCCATCCACATTAAACATAATATGAAAGCAAAAAGTTCCAGGCAGAATTATGGCATTTGAAATGGTGGTATCCTTCAGTTTCATGAGATTGGCCAAGGTTAGAGGCTGTGCGTTTCTGCCTTTACAACACATCTACTGCAGGACCTAGATATATTGCAGTAACCTTCACCTAACGTACACTTAGCGTCTCCCGGATTTGTTGTTCTGGCAACATTTAACTCAATAATTTTCCATTGTTTGAAATAAAAGTCTATGGACACTGACATGCATCTGAAAAAGGCAAAACATCAGCAATTTCAGCTAATTTAAGTCATGCCAGAAAGTGCATTTGAGAGAGACTTTCATTCCTTGTATTTGTCATAAGTTCATTCCAGCACTTCCAGCGGAGGAGGCTCCTTAGAGCAGGCAGGATATATGATGCAAATAACATGACGCTTATCTCTGACAGCAAGCTGGCTCCTGTGAATTAAAGGTTTGCAGGCACTGACATCCAGAAAGAATAAAGAAGAATTTGGAGCAGGTACATAGGGAAAAGAAATCAACTTTAAGTTAAGAGATTCACTGCAGGAAATCTCTTCAATTATTTTAACATGGCTATTGTTCACATACAGACAGTGAACTGCCCCTCATGTGTGCAGCTTCCCTTATCCAGCCCGTGTGTGAGTTTGAACACTAATTTAACCATGGCATTAATTTCACCTTTCAGCTTTCTCATCTAACTGTGATGGCCTCCCACCAGTCAGGGCGGGAAGAACTGCACCTTGGAGGAGCAGTTTACTGTAGCAACCTTAAAATCCTGCCTTTGGACAAGACAGTTGGAAGTGTGGCAGGGATGGACAGTGGGACAGGAAGAATGGAGGAAGCTGGAACCACGGTTAGTCTGGTGAAACACTCCCAGCAATGTCTCTATACCCCCGAGACGTACGGCACCTATAAGGCAGTGCAGCATGCAACAGCCAAGTTCTAAGAACAGCCTCACTCCAGGCCATCAAATGCCAAACACTTTCAGAATGTACAATATCAGGACTTGTTACATGTCATTCCATCAATGGCAGACAGTGGGACTGACACCAAGCTGAGGAGTGCAACTGACATACCTGAGGGAAGGGATGCAATCCAGAGTGATCTTGACAGGCTTGAGGAGTGGGTCCATGTGAAACTCAGGAACTTCAACAAGGCCAAGTGCAAGGGCCCGCACCTGGGCTGGGGCAATCCCCAACATCAGCACAGACTAGGGGCAGGGGTGGATGGGTGGAGAGCAGCTCTGTGGGGAAGGACTGGAGATTCTGGGGGTTGAAGAATTGGACATGAGGCGGCAATGTGCGCTTGCAGCCCAGAAAGCCAATTATGTCCTGGGCTACATCAAAGGAAGCACGGCCAACAGGTCAAGGGAGGCAGTTCTCTGGGGTCCCCTGTACAAGACAGATGTGGACCTGCTGGAGCAGGTCCAGAGGAGGCACAGAAATGGCCCAAGGGCTGGAACAGCTCTGCTGTGGAGAGGCGCTGAGAGAGTTGGGGTTGTTCAGCCTGGAGAAGAGAGGGCTCCGGGGAGACCTTACTGCAGCCTTTCAATACTTAAAGGGGACTTACAAGTAAGAGAGATATTTTTTTTTACCAAGGCCTGAAGCGACAGAACAAGGGGCAATGGTTTTTAACTGACAGAGGGCAGGTTTAGATGGGACATAAGGAAGAAATGTTTTACAATGAGGGTGTTGAGGCACTGCAACAGGCTGCCCAGAGAGATTGTGGATGCCCCATCCCTG